CTCTCTCTCTCTCTCTCTCTCTCTCTCTCTCTCTCTCTCTCTCTCTCTCTCTCTCTCTCTCTCTCTCTCTCGCTCTCTCTCTCGCTCTCTCTCTCGCTCTCTCTCTTACTCTCTCTCCCCTTCTCCCTCCCGTTGGCGCGTTTGGGCGTTCTGGGTCCACAAGTCCCTCTGAATTGGTAGATGGTTTGGACTTCCTGAGATTGGTAGTGAGGGGAGGACCGGCTTCCCTTCTCATGTGTCTTTCTGTTCTCGATTTTTTTGTTCTGTTGTGTCCTCTCACAGGTCGTTCTCATCTATGTTAGCGATTCGATGGCGGGCGGGATGGACATATGTTGCTACAATTCGCTTCCATCTGTGCAGTCTTTTCACACCCCCGCGCCCGATGCTCCTGAGAACTCTTGCGAGAGCCGGTCCCCAGACATTGTCGTCACACCATCGAAACATGACCATCGTGCATACCGTGTTGCTCGTATGCCCCGACGCCAATTCAGAGACCGGGCTGTGCCATCTGCCAATGTCAACGTCGTGCAGCGTCTTTGTCTTGACGACATCGGCATCTTGCCTCTGATGACGGCGCAGGACCGGCGTGTGGGTCTCCGGATCTTTCGCTTCGAGGACATTCGCCACCGGCAACTCGCACTTACGATCGTTATGTCCCGGTCGACATGCTTTCGTTGCCGTCGTGCAAAGGCAGTGAAGGGGGGTTGGGTCGTGCTGCTCGTTCGTCGGACATCGACTTGCCAGTCGGAGAAGACACCGCGATATCTGCCTTGTCTATGTTGTGTGGTGAAAAAGGAAAAAAAAAATACATATACAGACTCAGAAAAAGAAGTTCTTCAACAGTCAAACCGATAGTGCAGTTGCACTTTCGAACGTAGATGTAGCGTCGACGAGTGCGAGACCGTCCTCCGCAAAACATGTTGCGAAACGTTTCGCTATCTTTCTAACCTTAGAGTGCAGGACGTTATGAAATGTAGACGTGACTACCGTGTTCTCAGAGGGCTGGAAAAATGAAAGTGGTGGATGGCGAAACTACAGAATTTTATTTCGTTAGTTGACCGTAGCCTACAGTCAAACCGATAGTGCAGTTGCACCCTGTCTGCGTCACTGCATGGTGTCTCATACTCGGCGTCGGTAGGAACACATACAAAAGATACATCGATGACCTCGATGACGGAACCGTCGAAGCTGTTCATGGCCATGAAGGTCATCCGCGGACAACGGCGACCTACGCCATTACATGGTCTGCGTTCGAGGACATCATCTTGGACGAGTTTGATCCCATGCCAGATCAGACTGAGACAGGCCCAAACTTCGAGATCAGAAACCGCATTCGGCTCCCGTCGGTGTTCGCCACAAAGAAAGACGTTTTCCTCAATATTCGTAGATGACTATCTAAGTTTGGAGTCTGTTGCGCGTCGTACCAGGTCTTCTGCAAGATGTGGAGGGACTTCTTCTGGCACGTTCGTCTCGCAAAGGTGACCGACCACGCGAGATGCAACGAGTGCATTAAGAATAGCATCCTCATAGAGGGTGCTCTGCCCGAGCCGAGGAGGTCGCTTGTCGCAAAACAGAAAAGTCATCTTGCGCTACATTCGGCACACCGGAAACAGTACAGTGTGTGGTCTGCTGATTCACAGCTCAGGCCGAAAGAGAGTCTGTGTATCATCATCGATGGAATGCATCAAGCGAAAACAACGATACCCCATGCATCGAGAAGACGTTTGTCAAAAGAAATGTCGAATAACACGATGATGAAGACAAATTTTACTGGGATAATCGCGCACGGTAGGACACCATCGCCCATGGTCCACACGTGGTTTCCGTACCTTTTGCACGGCTCAAACTCGTTCGTCACCTCGATCGCCAAAGTGTTGAGAGATGTTCAGGCACGTGAGGGGGCGCTCCCGTCGAAGTTGCGGGTGCAGGCCGACAACTGCGGGGGACAAAACAAAAACAAGTATGTATTCGCCTTCATGGCCATGCTAGTCAAATTTCGTATATTCGAGGTCGTCGAAATGGGGTTCATGATAGTGGGTCACACACACACGGACATAGATGCAAAGTTCAGCTTGTTTGCTAAAAAGTTGAGCGGTTGCGATGCGTATACCATGGATGAGTTTTTCGATGTCCTCAAAGCATCCTGTGAAGAGGAAGTCGATTGCACATTGCTCACTGAAATTGCTGGCTGGAAAACCGCCATAGATCCATAAATCGACCATAAAATCAAGGGTCATGCCATGCCACACCTCTTCCGATTTTACATGGATGGGGACAACCCCGCCATGATGTACAAGGAGTTCTGCACTAACAAAAAATGGGAGCCGGACACTGACCCTGTGTATTGGTTTGTAAGGGACGCAAACAATGGGTGGGTCGGGCCTTAGTGGGATTTCCAACCTTGCCGTGAGTCACCTAAAGGCAGGCAATTTCGTTAACGGGATTGGGGGGGTACGTGTTCTTCATAAATCGTGGGAGAATACACAAAACCAATGGGTGACACAAGACAAACACACAAGAGCAATGAAACGTAGACGCTTGAGCTATTGGACAGACCATCTCAAGAAGTTTGAAAACATATCGCAAGAGGAGAGCGGCACGGTGCTCCTTCAAGGTGCCTTTTGACCTGTCCCCATGCCCGATAAACAAGATCTCACGTTACGTGCGCCGCATGTTCTCGACTCGCCACCGAGGAAACCTTGCTTCGTCGGGTACAAAAAAGACGCTCCCAAGCCGGAGTTCAAACTGCACGAGTCTGTCGCCATGAACAACTTCGTCTCGTTCCTCGCGCCCGACAAATATGTTGCAAAGGGATGCACATTCTGGATTGGACGAGTTCAGGAGCGGGACGATAATCACATCCGTGTCAAGTACTAGACTCCTTGCGGAAGGGAGCGTGATTTGACAAAGCTGTATGCGGGCGCATGGGAAAAATCATGGAAGGTCGAAACTGAACAAACGACGGGTGACAAGACCTCGACGCCGTTGTGTGGGCATGGTCTAGCAATAAACGTTCTGAAACGGGTACGCGGATCCCGAAACGAGAAGCTCTGAATGCACAGTTGTCGTTGGCTGTCCCTGATAAGACGCCTTCATCAACGCATGAAATTGGACTTGCTTCAGAAATATCTGTGTAGTCGTGACGTGTTACATACGTAATGGAGATCATCTTTTGAACACGAACAGATTAGTTCACATCGCTAATTGCTCCATTGGATTGCGTTTTTCTCCTTCATTCATTGTGTTTAGAATGTTTGAATCGTCAGACCGGAAGCGCAACGAGAAATGGGGGACACCTGTGCGCTGGCAGGAACTCATCTCATGGAAAACAAGAACGCAAATGAGAGCTACCGGTATAGACTGCACCGACTGGTGCGCATCTTGGCCCTCGATTGAACTGTGGTACGACGAGATGCGAGATGGAGTTTACAAGCTCGTGAAGACGATAGTGCCGGATGCGAACTTCGGAAGCCACGACTCTAGCAAATGGACCGAAGTGTTCTACAGATTGGGGTTTGTTCACATGTGAGGACAGCGGGGGTGAGCATCATGGATCGGTAACGTGCGTGGCGTTCTGCTCAGACGGTGGTCTGACACGGTGCGCAACACGGATTGAACGAACGAAGGTGCCCTCGACGTTGGAAAACAGCAACTACAGGAGGGCGACGCTGAAGCTTGTCAGACGTCTATTCAACGAAATCAAAGATGCAATGTTGCGTGTCATCAATAAAAGGTCGAGGGTCGCCATTCACGTGGCGACGACCGTGATAACATGCCGAAACGAAGATGGTAAAATGAAAAAACTTGAAAAAACTAACACCGTCACAAAGTTTAATATCGTCGATCATATTCATCGGCGCGAAAGTGGCAAACGGAACAATCTGCAATCCGTCCTGCGTGCTTATCCGCATTGACCGACGTTCATCTGTGTTTTTGATGTATGTGTTTCTTTTTTTTTCTCTCTCTTTATCTTTTTCGTATTGGTCCGTGTAGTATGGATCCAGAATGGATGCAGAGGCAGTTAAGACAAGATTGGTGGGGAACGCCAATCAAATGGGGGGAACTGATATCAGACCTTGCTGAGGAGACAGCGTAACGCCATCGGACTTGTCACCTGGGATTTTGCATATTACGAACCGTCACTGCACTTGTATCCTCTAAGCGCAAGAAAAAAGATTTACAACCTCGTGGGGGTGTGCGACCGTCAAAATAATTATAATTACAAGAAGGATGGGAACGCAAGATACAAGGAGGTATTCTACGATTACGGCCTTGTGGCTGCCCCGGTGACAGATAGATAGATAGATAGATAGATAGATAGATAGATAGATAGATAGATAGATAGATAGATAGATA